GGATTGCGGGACGGCGGGATGTCTGGGCTGACAGCCTTGCGGGCTCGCTTCTGATTGCTTTCTCATGCTCCTTGCTCTGTCTTAAACAATGTTTAGCCTATCAATGTTGTAACAACCAATCATCACTGATTGGTTGTTACACTTCCCTGACAGACGCGGTCGAGAAAGCACGTGTCCGCTCTCTCTGGAACTGTTGTGTGAGCTGAGGTTATCGTGTGTGACGGTTTTTTCTTTGTCGGCCAGTTGTAAATGTGTACAGCTTGGGCCCAAGTGATGAAATTCAGTGTTTCGGCGGGAAATCAGGGATTCGGCGCAGGTATTGCTTTGCCCGAGGACGCGAGTTTGGGCCGGCAGAGGGCTTGGGATGGGCCTGTGGCCGCGGCCTCCGCAGCGCGGCTTTTGGAAGCGGCGGACCAAATATCCAGGGCTCGTCTACTTGCGGCGGCGAAGAGAGAGAGTGGCTTGTGGCTTCACGCTATTCCTTCGGATGCTCTTGGAACACTTCTAGATCCCGACTCCTTCCGCGTCTCAATTGCTCTTCGAGTTGGCGCAAATGTATGCGAACCCCACACTTGTNGGGAAAAAGGGCGATGGCTGCAGATTTTCACATCCTAGACTGTGCCATAAATTTTGTACCTACGGAAGCGGGCACCCACGAGGGTGCAAAAAAGGAAGGGACTGCGCGTTCCATCACCCTAAGTTGTGCTGGAGTGTTATGCAGAAAGAAGATTGCACGTATGAAAACTGCAGGTTTCTTCACATAAAATCGCGGAAGCGAATGGAGGAAGCCGGCAGGAGAGGTGGCAACAATGATTCACCCCCACAAAGAAGGGCTCCTGCTGGACGCCAGCCCACTCCCTCACCCTCACAGTCCCCACCATCACAGGGAAGACAGGGCAGTGATAGGGTTGCGGGAAACACTGGTAGAAACAGCGGTGAGGAGAGTAGTTCTTGGAGAAGGAGGGATGACCTAACTACCCTAGGGAGTGGTCCAAGCGAATGGGACAGGTACGCACGCGGGGGGCCAGAGTTTACCTACGGCGCTTTTTTAGAAATGAGGCAGCAGCTGGAAATAATTCAACTCCTGGTGAAGGAGCTGCTGGGCCAGAGGCGCCAGGCAGAGTTGTGGAGACGCAGGTAAGCGCACCAATAAGGGAAGAGTCTGGCATTTTGCTGGCTAACATCCAGGGGCTCTTCCCACTGAGAGCGCGGCACAAGATTGGCGTGCTGCGTGAGATGGCCGACGAGGGTGAAATCTTTATGATAGCACTAACGGAGTCGCACCTAAGAAAAGATATCCTCGATGCAGAAATTACAATGGAAGGATTCCAACACTACCACGCGGACCGGAAAGAAGGGAGAAAGAAGGATGGAGTAATTGTCTACCTTAGTAACTCCCTCGCAAGAAGCACTGAAGAATTGAGATCGAAATCTGGAAACTCTGACGGCTTTGTTGAACATGTGCTACTTCACATAAAAAATTTTGACCTTTGCGTAGCCATAGTCTATGGACCGCCTGCTTGTCCGCCGGAAAATTTCAACAAAACCCTTAAGGAAATAGAGACCAGGGTGGCTGAACTAGGTGACCCAGCCCTCAGCCTGATAATTGGTGGGGACTTCAATCTCCCACGAATCCGTTGGACAAGCCCTGACGGCTTAAAGGTCGATGACCGCGACACAAGTCAAGAAGCCCAACTTATGAAGTTTGCTGCGGAACACTTGCTCAGTCAGCAGGTACGGTCGCCGACAAGAGATCACAATATCCTCGATCTCTTCTTTACTAATAACAAAAGAATGGTGGTTGACGTCCGGGTTGAAGATACCTCACTGTCTGACCATCGCTTAGTGATTGTGGAAACGACAATTGGAATTGAAACCCTGCCCAGGACTATACCCCAAGAGAGACTGGCAGGACTTAACTTCCACAATCGAAGAACGGATTGGGGGCAATTTGGAATGAAATTGACGAAATCGATTGGAGAGCGGAGTTTCACGAGATGAATGCTGAGGAAATGATGAATGAGATGAAATGATGAATGAGATTATCACGAGATGAATGCTGAGGAAACTGTGTGAGAAACTAGCACAGGTATGTGTGCGTCATACCCCGAGAAAAACAGGGCCTAAATTCCGCAGCATTCCGAGAGACCGACGAATCCTAATATGAAAACGCAAGCGATTAAATGAGCAAATAGCTGAATCCACTGGTGATACGAGAAGACGGAGGCTAGTAGATTTGCACAAGAAAATTGAACTCAGGCTGCAAAACTCGCACAGGATGGAAGAACAAGCTGCGAAAGAGCGAGTGTTTGAGGTCATCAAAGAGAACCCAAGTATTTTTTAAATACGCTCAGTTCCAGGCTAAAATAAAGATGCCAGTGGGCCCGCTTAAGGATAACAAAGTCATTGTCGGAGATGACCATGGCATGTGTGAGTTACTGGGATCTCAGTTTGAATCAGTGTTCAGTAACCCCCGCTACTCAAGGGATGAGAATAAAATTGAAGTTCTCCAGGAGCTGCCAGGTGGTAGAGGGTTGGAGAACATTGAGTTTGGACCAGAAAACATGGAAATAAGTATCAGAGAACTTGCGACGTTTTCAGCGCTAGGACCCGACGGAATTCTGGCAGTGCTGTTGGAAAAGTGTGTTGGAGAACTTAAGGCTCCGCTCACAATGGTCTGGAAAGCCTCGATAACAGAGGGAATTATGCCTGATGGTCTCAAAGTGGGACTTATAACGCCAAACCACAAAGGAGGTCCGAGGGACAGACCCCAAAATTACAGACCTGTGACCTTGACCTCACATGTGATCAAGGTTTTTGAGAAGGTAGTGGTCAAGAGGCTTGTCCGGTATATGGAAGAGGCTGACCTGTATAATAACGGACAACATGGTTTCCGGCGTAATCGTTCCTGTTTGTCGCAGTTACTGGAGCACCATCACCGTCTTGTGGCCCCCCTGGAAGAGGGAGCTGGCGTGGACGTGGTATACCTAGACTTTGCTAAAGCCTTTGACAAAATCGACCATGGGGTGCTCTTTAGAAAGCTGTGGCTGTTGGAGGTAGGAGAAAGCTTGTTAAGGTGATCCACAACTTCCTTACAGATAGCGAAGCGAAGGTGAAAAGTGGAGTTCCGCAGGGCTCTGTGCTTGGACCGATCCTCTTCCTCATCCACATTGCCGATATTGACTCAAAACTCACCCACGCATCTACAAATTCTACATCATCATTTGCGGACGATACAAGAGTGCTGATGAAGATCACAGATGACCTAGACTGCGAGAGGTTACAGGATGACCTATCGTCAATCTACGAATGGGCCCTAGTGAACAATATGCAGTCAACGGCACCAAGTTCGAAGTAATGAGATACAGAGTCCGCACAGAGATCGGGATGCCGCATCGCTACTTAGCATCAGATGGCACAGAAATTGAGGAGAAGCAACTAGTTCGAGATCTCGGAGTGTTGATGAGTTCTGAAGCCACGTTCGATGCCCATATCGAGGAAACAGTCGCGCGCAGCTGGTAACGGATGGGGTGGATATGGCGGACATTTTAAACGAGAGAAGCAGCACCAATGATTACACTCTTCAGAGCCCTCGTGCTCCCCAACCTTGAGTATTGCTGCCAACTTTGGTAGCCACTCAAGGCGGGTGCGGTGCGGAAGCTGGAGGCAGTGCAGCGGACCTTCACGTACAGGATCAGCGGCATGAGGGAGCTGAACCTGAACTACTGGGGAAGGCTGAAACACCTGGAACTGTACTCACTGGAGAGAAGAAGGGAAAGGTATATCATACTGTACACTTGGAAGATGATAAACGGACTGGCTCCCAACTTTGAGAGTGAGACCTACAAAATAATGACATATTACAACGAAAGAAGGGGGAGACTGTGCAGGATTCCCCTATTTAACATTTTACCGCCAAATCGGACTTTCAAGTCGCCTTTAAAAACGCCGGTTTTCTAATAATTTATCGTTTTCTTTCATTTTTTCGAAAAATTCATATGAACAAAAAAAGTCTTAGATTTATTTTTTACATATGTGTACCAAATTTCAAAGTTTTCTGTCTGTAAATAACCGAAATAAAATTTTCATTTTCCAAAGGCAATTTCCAATATCTTGTGGAAATTTTATTTCGGTTATTTACTGACAGATCACTTTGAAACTTGGTTCACATATGTAAAAGATAAATCTAAGACTTTTGTTCGTGTAAATTTTTCGAAAAAAATTATAGAAAACGTGAAATTCTCAGAAAACAGCCAAAAAGGGGGTACTGTAGATATCTATCTCCTCCTTGAATTTTCAAGCTACAACATCGAAACACATATCATTCGATGCGTAAGGACCATATCTATCGATAGGTCCTTGCTTTTTTCGAAATTCTATTTTTTGTGGCTGAGGTGGGCATTTTTCAAAAAATTGTGATTTAACCCCCTCCCCCACCCTTTCGAATTCCCCCCCCCTTTCAAAATATTTTCAAAACTATAACGAAATTGAAAAAAGCTACGACCAATCTCTAGATATTTTATTTGCGAATCGAACGGTATATCTCTCATTGCTGTAGCTTAAAAACTCTAGGAGGAGATAGGTGTGCAGTGACAATAAGTGTGGATGTTCAGTAGAGCGCCAACTCTCCCGAGCGCCTCGAAATAGGCATTCAAGGTGGCATGGATACAAGACTAGACGTTACTGGAGCTGAAATTCAGTCAAGGATGGTGGGAACGACTGCATGAACACCATCCCACACGACAGCCGCCGGGTAAGAAGATCAGCGTCTTCAGGTCGTCTATTTCTGTGCCCGGCCGGTAATTTTCGCCTATCCTCGTCAAGACATAAATCAACGTACAGAGATGATTTTGGTACCGTTGGATAGGTCAGAATGTCAGCTTTGAGGTGAGACTAATGTTGTGAACGCAACATTTGCTCTAGAATAGTAGCTTAATTCCGTGGTCTTGCGAAAATCATTAGCTCACTCGTCATCTGTCGGCTGTGGAGGACAGGCCGAACTTGAATCAGGAACGAATTTTGGTGATCTTAGTTTACTTGTTTGAACATTTATTTGTTGTTTAGAAAGCTATTGTAATTACTTGAATATTTTCGAATATTGTTTATAAATTCAGTAACATTTTTTCTTTGAATAAATTTTGTATTTGTACCGGTTTCTTTGCAGAAACCGTGGCTTCTGGGAATATAAAGCCAAATTGAACCTTGGATGCACGCGTATTAAATTATTCCTGCCATAGATAACAGTTGCACTGAGAAGCACGAAATAGTCAGCAACATAGTTTCAAAATTCGCGACATGCCTCTGGACAGAACATCACCACCATCTGGCGTTGCCGACGAGGACGACGCTCTGCCACCTGTCAGTGGAGAATTCGACCCACCATCTGGGCGTCTCGCTGCAGTTACTAGAAAAGCTAACGAGATTAATGAATTTATGAATAAAGGAATCAAAGACAAAGACGAATTGGAATATCAGTATCGAACCTACTTGGATAGAGTTCAAACTCTACAAGAAGCGTGCGAACAACAGACTAACTTGAATGAAGAGGAAAATCAGAAGAGAATAAAGTGGTGGAACTACAATAACGCTGGCATTGTGAATGTCAGAGTAGATGTTGAGAAATATTTGGCTGAAATGACAGGAGCTAGGCTCAAACTGCGAACTTCAAAACCATATTCGAAGGGCGGTCAATCATCGCCAAACCGTCGTGGACAACCAAGAATTCAGCGCCGAAGCAAAGTCAGCAGTCGTGAGGAATTTTTACGTAGACTGTATTTCCTCGCTTCTAGTGATTCTGAGGAGACAGCTGCTAAACTCCTGCAAGAGGTAAAACATTTGGTATCTGAAGGAGGATTTAATCTTGCCGAATTCGTTACGAATTCCGACAGACTTTTGAGCCTCGTGAACAATGAAAAAAGTTTCCGACGTAAAATTGAAATAAATTCATCTTGGCTCCGCTAATCCAGCATTAGGTCTGATATGGAATGCAAAACGTGATACGCTGAAGTTAAAGATAAATTTAGAAAATAAACAGCCGACTAGAAGAAGCATCCTATCGATCATCCACGGAATTTTTGATCCTATTGGCCTGATTGGACCAACCATCGTCTGCGCGAAAAGAATTTTCCAGGATGCCTGCAAACTGGAATTGGATTGGGACGCAGAGTTACCTGCATCGCTCAACCGAAGATGGACTACCTGGCGAGACGAGCTTCATTTCCTTGAAGATTATGAAATTCAGAGATGCTGCAAACCAGCAGCAGCTACCAGAAATGAGTTGAATTTTTTTTCACGGATGGATGTGAAACGGGCTACGGCTCGGTTGCTTTCTTGAGATCTATTGCAAGGAACGGAGAAATAAGCTGTTATCCTGTCCTCTCAAAAGCCAGACTTACGCCTTTTAATAATTCTGTCACAGTTCTAAATAGATCGGTCTGATCTACTGTTCCATTGTAGATAAACCTGAAGGGTTTTGGTACGTTAATAAATTGTCCGAATAACAGATTAAATATTCATTGGCCGGGGAAGGATAATGACAAGACGTGTATCTAAGCGTAAGTATTAAGGATAGGTTCACGGATACACTAGATAGAAGTTACAGGATCAAAGCATAGTATGTGCAGTAATTTTGGAGATAGAGTATACGACACTGCGTGTTGGCTGAGTGCCGGAGTCTAGTGTTAACTGCATGACTGCAGTTGAAGGCTGTCTGCCTTAGACTCGCCTAAGACTGACTAACAGTGAGCTTTCTCAGCCTATATACGCGGTGGCCCGCGAATAGTGACGTCACAGAATGTGACGTAATAGTCAGTAATAACATCAATCCGGGACAATTCTACTTATCGGGGGAGCGCAGCCGTGCACCACCAATTTTGTGCACCAATAAGCCCTGAATCGAACGCCTTGGATCTCTCCGGACCCACACCAATCAGCCGTGCACCACTCGGTTTTGTCCTCTTCCGGCCTTGACCACCACCAGCCGTGCACCACCAGGCCGCGGATCGAATATGACTTCCAGGCATCGTCAAATTACGTAATTTTACGTTCACCGCATCTGAGGTTAGATTTCAGATAGCATAGTTCTGTTCCAAAATTTATCGTCCTTCGACAAGCGGCCGTTCGACCGAGGGCTGGTTCGACCCACGGCCTAGATACGGACGGCTTGAAGTGTTGAAGGCTACGTTCCGGAAGGCAAGAATCGTGATGGTCCATTACATCCAGGGCAGTGGTGGTCTTCGGCAGGCGACCCCTTATCGGATCATTCCGAGAATAGAGTTGAATGGTGCTAAAGTCTCCGTTCTCCTGAAGAAAAGTTCTCGTGGAAGAGCTCGATTACAAAATCGACAACGAATATTTCTGGACTGACAGCGCAACAGTATTGCACTACGTAAAGAATGAACGCAGGCAGCTGGCCAGGTTCGTAGCCAATCGTGTTGGGTGTATCCTCAGCGACACCTGCCGAAGTCAATGGAGATACGTCACCGATTCGACACTTCACTTATATTTCAAATTTGAATAAAATCCGTTTATAATTGAAGGAGTTATGAGTGCCACAGTTGAAAATTAAGTTAGGTTTTCCGTATTAACAAAAAAGTTATTGATGTAAAAATCTGAAAAAATTCCCCCTGCACAATACTGATATTATCTACTTATATTTCAAATTTGAATAAAATCCATTCATAATTGAACGAGTTATGCGTGCCACAGTTGAAAAAGAAGTTAGGTTTTGCATTCGAGCTCGCAGGCGAGTTCGCAGGCGAGTTCGCTGAAGTGTCAAATCGGTCTCAGGAAACTCGACGATCATGGCGTTCTTAGAGTAGGAGGCCGACTGCAACACAGCGATCTCTCTTCCGATGAGAACATCCAATAATTTTGCCCAAGGGAAACCAATTTGTAGAAAGCATGATTCGTGAAACCCACAAAGATTTGGCTCACATTGGAAGAGCAACTCTTGTGACCCAACGCAGACGCAAGTATTGGATAATAGGAATTAACTTGTCAATAAGAAAATTACTTCGCAATTGCGTGACATGCCGAAAATATAATGGATTACCTTCAATACCGAAGATGGCTTCACATAAATTCAGTTACATTTTTTCTTTGAACAAATTTTGTATTTGTACCGGTTTCTTTGCACTTTGCAGAAACCGTGGAAACCGTGTCTTCTGGGAATATAAAGCCAAAATGAACCTTGGATGCACGCGTATTCAATTATTCCTGCCATAGATAACAGTTGCACTGGAAAGCTCGAAATAGTCCGCAACAACTAAAAACCGGAAAAGTAAAATTTGCGATTTTTGACCCAGAAATTTGGGCAGTAAATGGTGGGTCGCCTGCCGAAGACCACAACTGCCCTGGATGTAATGGACCACCATGATTCCTGCCTACCGGAACGTAGCCTTCAACACTTCAAGCCGTCCGTATCTAGGCCGTGGGTCGAACCAGCCCTCGGTCGAACGGCCACTTAACATAACATAGTGATGTCGGCGCTGAAGTGTAGGCCTGATGTGGCCTGTCGCCGATTCTTTTCCTTTTCGTGCCTTGTTCATAGATCTAAACTCGTGTCATTTGACCGGATCTTTTAATGACTGGCGATAGTTTGAAGTAGCTACTAGACTTCCACCCATCCACCGGGTTCGATAAGGAGCTAGGCATTTCAAATCTGAACATATATTTTTCCATAGCTTTATCTAGTCTGTTCTTGAACGCATTCATACAATTTCATAGTACTTGGAGCGCCAACGATGTCATCGGGGAGGCTGTTCCACTGTGACACTGTCCACATCATAGCCTAGTGAGAATTGTTTAGACTCTCCCTCAAGTTCACTTTTGAGTCCTAGGTATAAGTAAACCAGTAAAGTATCATAGATACCAGCAATCCAGCATTATCATACTTGAGAAATTGGCTTAAATCTTGAGTAAATGAGGAAATTAAAAATGAACTAGGGTAAATGCGGTATATTCCGACATCGTAGGTAATTCTGTCACCTCTCCAGCTTTTCCTTTATATTAAGCTTTGTTTTAGTTCCCTGCGTTCATTGATGGTTGAAATGGTGATGTCATACATTTGCGTGTCGAAATACTGCAAAAACACTAGGCATAGTGGCAAAGCAGGGAGTTTTTTAGACACTCCCTCAAGTTCATTTTTGAGTCCTATAAGTAGACCAGTAAAGTATCCTGGATACCAGCTTCATCATACATAAGAAATTGGTTTAAATCTTGGGTAAATGAGGAAATTAAAAATGAACTGATTCTAAAAAATCTCTGGTTTGTCACTATGNTTGCTAAAGCTTCATTCTTCTTTGCTTAGTTTATTTCATTATTTCTAGTTGCTCATGAATCCCCCTTCTTCTACTGCTGTGCTGTCTAATTCCAGAACAACGCTTGAATCTGTGGTACAGAAAAAATATGAAAATCCATGCATATAATTATCATCGAGCAGCAAAGTCTTGTTGCAATATAGGGTAAACGCGGTATATTCCGACACATTAAGGACGCATTGAGAAATAAAAAATTATAAAAAAATAACCGTATGCATTACTCTAGTTCTTTTTGCTTTATGTGACTCTCAAAACACCTCACTACGTGCCAGCAACAATGAAACGTCACAAAATGTTGCCATATTTATTTAAAAGCCTTTAGAATGCAAACCTACCAAATCCCTATATTTCGACACTGTGTGTGACTATATTCGGCACGTGGTGAAACGTATTCCAACTGCGCTTCAAATTGTACTAATACGTAATTCCAACATCCACGTGTTCAAATTCCGATTGCTGTGTGAGCTGTATTGGAATATGACACGGCTTTGAATTAGAACACTATTGAATATTGAGCACTACTTAGGCTTTTAATTAACAGTTATTACGCTTTTAATTGAGAAAATTTTTATTTTTGCACACAGCTTGGAACGAGCTGTGTGTGTCCAATTCAAGTTGTGTCGGAATTAGTTTTTATGTGTCTAAATGCGTTTCTCAACTTAATCATCTATTAATTTATTTACCACTTGAAATCAGCAAATACAAGTATACTTAAAGGATTCCTAATATATTCGCAGACGTATTTAAAAGTCTCAAACCATAATATTCTTTCTGCACAAACAGTTTATCACTATTTGGTAGAGCAAGGTCAACTGTCAACTTTGACACATTTTTCGATGATCTCATTGGGTGGCATGCACCGTCTCTCTTTGGATCTCAACATTTTCCCGCTAGATGGCCCAGACCTAGTGTTTTGGCTGTAGTTTGACGCGCAAATGTATGACATCACTATTTCAACCATCAATGAACGCAGGGAACTAAAACAAAGCTTAATATAAAGGAAAAACTAGAGAGGTGTCGGAATTACCCACGATGTCGGAATATACCGCGTTTACCCTACACCAGCATAATCATACATCAGAAAATGGTTTAAATATTGAGTAAAGAGGAAATTAAAAATGAACTGATTCTAAAAAATCTCTGGTTTGCCACTATGGTGACATCACTGACATGATGTCAAAATGTTGTGTGTTCTCCCAGAGCTGTGTGCTACATTATTTCAACATATTGCAGGTTCTCCCAGAGGCCAGAGCTGTGGGTGACAATGTCAACATGTTGCGTGTTCTTCCTGAGCCCTGGATGACAATGTGACATGATGTAACCATGTAGTGTGTTCCCCCAAGAGCTGTGGGTGACAAGGTGTCCACATGTTGCCTGTTCTCCCAGTGCTGTAGGCAGCATGATGTCAACATGTTGCATGTTTGATGTTCTCCCAAACCCAAAGCCATGGGTGACATGATGTCAACATGTTGTGTGTTCCCCCAGAGCTGTTGGTGACATGATTTCAACATGTTGCAGACCATGATGTACCTGATCAGTGCATGGCCCTGTTATTATCTCAGAGAATGTTTGAGTTGTCAAGTTTCATTGCATGAGCAAAAGTTATAAGATTTCTTATCAAGTAATTTGTTCCATAAATGCACCACGGTGCAACATAGCCATCATTTTTTGTTAATCAGTTTAGTTGATATGGAAATAATTGTTAGTTGCAGTCCTCCGTCTTTCCTTGTTAGATAATATAATTTTTTTTGTAAATGTGCAGCTTGAGTGGGCATAAAAATAATTCTTGGATCAGTTGGATGAAGTATATACTGAACCAACACATTATTGAAGTGCCTCTACCTCATAGCCACTTGTGAGTTGCAAGTAATGCAACAAAGAGTAAAATATTTACCTTTCAACCTGTGTCTACAGATACATACAGTTCTTGATGCTATTCATATCTATAAGCAAAATACTGTTATTATAAACCATAACTAATTCAACTCTCGCAATGATGTTTTCAGGTTCATGCAGTGTTAATTCAACTCTCTTAATAATGTTTTCAGGTGCATGCAGTGTTAATTCAACTCTCTCAATCTGTTCAGGTGCATGCAGTGTTGATCCAACTCTCTCAATATGTTCAGGTGCATGCAGTGTTAATTCAACTCTCTCAATGTGTTCAGGTGCATGCAGTGTTAATCCAACTCTCTCAATGTGTTCAGGTGCATGCAGTTGACATCCTTACAGATACAGAAGAAATGCTATACTATACAGTTGCTGATATGGAGCTTTCAGTGGACCAGCTCATTGTAAATGCTCAATGGCATGCTCATGGAAAGGAGAATATCACATTAATAATATGGTAATGAATGGATATGGTAATTTCACATCAATAAAGGAAAAACAAGTAAAAATCACAGAAAATGTCATTTATTCTACATCTACCTAATTTACAAAGGAAGAGGACTTCAGAGTAGGTACTGTTAGTAATGGATGAGTACACTCTGCATGCTTAAAACGTTTTAAAATTAAATTTTATTTGAAGTGTCCTGGATTACCCTGTTACCAAGGGGTAATTAGGGACACTTTCATTTTGCTTCTGGCACCTTACAAATAGCATATGGAATTTTTTGGTGATGCCATACGGTAGCCCTCACAAAGAGCGTTATAATGAGCCCATATATGTTTATGAAATGTTTCCTGGTAGGTTGTTAACAAAAACTCTCAAAACCGTCCCTTAATACCTACCCCGTTTGATGGTACATGGAATAAATTGGATTAATTGTGGCGTCTTATGGCTCCTCAATTATTTTGATGAGAAATTTCATGACTCAAACATGCTCTAAAAAATGTTATAGGTAGGTGAATTTGTGTTCATGTTGGGTAACTTGAATTCAATGAATGAAACCATGATGTAACTTACTTGGTGCTAAATGGTTTCTAAATTGAGAAAACTTCTACCTATAGATTTTAAGGGTACAATAAAAAATTTGATGTAATGTAAAAAATTGGCAAATAATTTAGCTGGTAAAAAATTTGTTCCACATTTAAATATTTTTGTCATGGATACGTTTACTGTTTGAAAATGGGTTCAAGGTTGAAAAATGAATTCTCTGGTCAGAATACTTTCCCATCTGAAATATTCAATATATCTCACTGCCACAAACAAATATCCTATTGCATCTCTGACAGTATTTTCCAGACCTGCTTTAAATCTTGCTTTCATGACAAAACTAAAATAAAATGTGAATTAGCACTTCAATATTTAATCCTCAATTGCAGACAAGATATTCTTTTGTAGAGATATTATGTAATAATTTGTACTATTATCTACAGTTAGGCAAATGACTTAGCTAATCAACTTCCAAATTGAATTACTGACAATAGATTTGTGGCTTGGCAAATAAAACCTAGGCTCAAAAATTTCAGTAGTGCAGTTTAAACTGAGAGTGGAATAGAGATATCAATATCTCTATGTATATATATATAGTAATTTACATAATCTATTGGAGATATTTTCAATACCTGCTGGTATATAATTGAGTGCAGTTACATACTGAGGTCATCACTGATGTCATGTGTCAATGATGTTAAAATTAGTGTTAATCTGTCATCTATGAATATTTCCAATGTGTTTATCACTATTTGGTACTTGGTTCACAATTGAACACAAATTAACATATATCCTACTGAAGTTTCACTAAATGAAGGCTGATAAATGATAAAATGCAGGGATAAAAATTGTCATTCTATGCCAAAAAGGATTAAACTTTGGCTGTTTCAGACTTCTGTTTTATTGCCTTTTCACTCTAAGCTGAAATTATAATGAATGTAGATTGTGATGTAGACTCTGACCACATTTTGCTAATGTGTCAAGATCAGCATCCATGTGCTTCAAATTTTCTCCAAAGAATTCCCAGGTTAGTTACTTGCAATGATCCCAATTGCTCAAAAAACTTATTTAATTATTCAATTTTTGCCTTCAGGATTTTTCATTTTTGCAAGATATTTTATTACTATTCCAATTTCTTTGTCTGTGATTCACTGATGCTGGTGTTGCTATCAGATTTATTTATTTATTTCTTCTATCCAATTTAAAACTACAGAAAACTTCAAATTTTTTGCTATGTTGTTGCATGTTTGATTGCAGACTCATTATTAACCTGCTTATCTCATGAGGCATCATGATAGCAAATTTCAGGTTCAGGTAGCCCAATCAAATTGAATTAAAATACTAATTTAGTTATTTTAAGAGCCCTTTCTTTGCAGTTTTGCTTAGTAAAGAACTAATTTTCAAGTTAGGCATCAAAAAATGCAATTTATCATTCACAGTCTATCAATGACAGTTCTAATGTACTATATGTAACAGTTTGTTAAGATAAATAGTAATCTGTTTTAAAATAGTTTCAATTCTTGCTGTTCAGTTGGTTTTCTGTGATACCGTATTGCTGAGTACAAGTTTGCCAAATTCAAAGTTACTTTAATAAATCATTTATTGCAGGAAGAGTGATGTGTGGGACAAGCTGGCTGGTGCGGTTCAAAATGGTTCTAAATTACATGAAGATGTTCTGCGTTTGGTTTTCCTCCACAAACCATCACTTCTTCAAGCTCAACTGCTCCACGTATTACTTATTTGCAGTGACCTGGTCAAAGAATTTGAAGACAACCAAATTATGTTCAATGCTGAAACCAAAATATTTTATAACAGAAATGTAGTCAGCAAGTGTGATTCTATCTGGAAAGATTCTAACATTCCTGGTGCTGTTACTACAGAGACTAAGCTAGTGAACATTGTTTCTAATACTTTTTTTCATTTATTCATGAAATGTAATTTTTCTAGGTTAATGTTTGTAGTTATGGGAAGTTTCTATAAAAGAATGTTAGCATTGAGCCCTGTTGAACTATTTCACTATATTACACCTGAGTTTAAAATTTTAGTTGAAACTCTGGAAACCATTGAAAATGTCCAGTGTGCTAAATTGAGTGGTATTTTCACTGATATATTGGATAGAGAAATAATTAAATTGATTGAAGATGAAGAGAATTGTTCAACACTACTTGTGATATTTGCTGTGTTTCCTGACAGCCTTGACCGTCTGAGAAATTCCTATTCTATACTATACTTCTTTAACCGCTTGTTGCAATTTCAAAATTCCAATTAATTTTGTCATCCATTATTTAAGTCAATATATTATTACCACGTTTTTCTTGACTTCATTTTGTGTCTGTCTGTCATCAAAAAATCAGACCTTAATTTAGAGCTCTTCTGAACATCCTAGAAACTTTAAATTTGGCATGCATGCTTATGCTGCCTAACAATTCAAGATTTGATCATCAGAAATAACAATTGAAAATTTTTTTCTTAATTAAAAAATAAATAAGAAAAACATGAAAAATTCACAGGTTGGAATTGAGTTTTTCTTGAACATCCACACTTGCTAACCCTGGAAATTGATTTCAATTGCTAAAATTGCTAACTAAAAAGTAGAAAATAGATATATATAAAAAAATATATTTTTAAAAACGTTTTTCTGGTTTTTACAGAACTAAAAATAGTGAAATAAAAAAAAAACTTTTAAAAACCATGTTTTCTTAACGGACAAAAAAGAAAAACATTTACTCCTACATAACATTTAAGTCATGTAAAATGTTATGTAATGTTATATAAGAGTAAACGTTTTTCTATTTTGTCCGTTGAGAAAATGTGGTTTTTAAAAGTTTTTTTTTATTTATTTTATTTCACTATTTTTAGTTTTGTAAAAACCAGAAAAATGTTTTTAAAAATATTTTTTAGATTTATTTATTTTCTACTTTTTAGTTAGCAATTCAAATCAATTTCCAGGGTTGGCAAGAGTGGATGTTTGAGAAAAAACTCAATTTCAAACCATTAAGTTTTAGTGTTTTTTTACAATTTAAAAAAAATTAAATTATTCTTTCTGATGATAAAATCTTGAATTGTTAGGCAGTATAAGCATGCATGCCAAATTTCAACTTAATAGGATGTTTAGAAGAGCTCTAAATTAAGGTCTGAATTTTTGATGACATACAGACACGAAACAAAGTCAAGAAAAACGTGGAAATATTTTAAAAAACCATGTTTTTCTGGTTTTTACAAAACTAAAAATAATGAAATAAAACAAATAAAAACTGTTAAAAAAACAAGTTTTCTTAACGGACAATAAAGAAAAACATTTACTCCTACATAACATTTTACATAACTTAAATGTTATGTAAGAGTAGGTAAGTGTTTTTCTTTTTTGTCTGTTAAGAAAACGTGTTTTTTTAAGTTTTTTATTTGTTTTATTTAATTATTTTTAGTTTTGTAGAAACCAGAAAAACGTGGTTTATAAAAATATTTTATATTTATTTTTTAGTATATGTACGGGACGAAAATTTAAGCCTGATAACCTCAGGGCGAACAGAATGCTATGACGTTCAAGCAACAATTTCAAATCTTCGCCTTTTGGGTTTTTTAATGAGGCTTCCGTCTTGCTCACATTGCCCTCATTGTTAACTGGAGGCTGCACTGACATTTTCAACGATCAGAATATATCATCCAACGTGAAATTGTTGATGAAACCTTGACATACGGTACCATTACGAAAGCATCGGCGACACGTTAGCGACGGCAGTATGGACGCTGTGAGCTTTTCCTAGCGGTAGCTGCCTCGGCGCACCGGCTGGTAGCTTCGTGACTCAACTTCAGTGTAAGCACCAGAAAAGCACCGTAATCGATCACCAACTGCGATACATAAGGAACGTTTACCTGAAATTTGTTGATACCGTTTATCATATTTGGTAAATAATACATGTCAGAATTCATCTTCCTGCAAAAAAAATATTTTGGCTAAAAATAGTACGCATTGTGTAATTTAGTCCCAAATACCTGGAAAATTATAGTGTTAACCCAGGATAGAAGCTAAAGAAAAGTTACGTCACATAGTTTTATTGATAGAAGCAGGCAAATTTTGTAACCACATCAATTTTGATAGTGTATATAAGGTTTTGTTTTACAGCTGTTGAAAAGTGTTGAAAAAATTCTTCTCTATAAATTCATTGATTATTTTTTGAAAGCTTCTGTAGTTTTTTTGCACTGGTCAACCCTAGCAAGAATTCTTCGTTGTGTGGTTCAAGATGCACCGCCATCTCCATGTCTGCTACCGCCTTATCACTTTTTCCTGTAAAGGAATTATGAAAACAATTGTATTCTAGAGTGCTTGCCCACGAATAATCCATTAAGCTCAAATAATTGTTACTGTAATACCAAATGATTTGACACAAGTGATTCATATAATCATATTATAAACTGAATGTTCATATCTATGACCACAGAGAAATATTAATACGTTCTTTTATATATCTCTTTTTCGACGCCAAAATTTCGATTCAATTCAGTGTAAGGCCCTATGGGGTAAAAATTAGAAGAAAGAAATATAATGTACTGGTCTAAAAAATTAATCTCATGAAATGTTTTTTCATAATATCAACGTATATTAATCAACTACTTATATGAGAGGACGCCTCACCCATTCTGTAGCACACCGTTCCCCTGTTATAGTAGGCTTGGGCGCAAGCGCTGTCATGCTGAATGGCTGTATTGAAATGCTGCTGAGCCTCGTCGAACTCGACGGCCCTGTAGCGACACAGTCCCAGCCAATTGTACGCACTTGCCAAGTCTTTTCTGCTTCCAGAACCACTGGAAAACGGGACATAATTCAACTAAACTTCTGTTTTATTTTTAAGTGTATTTATAATTCAGTTTCAACTGCCTCACACATGTAACCTCTTACTTGAATGAAGAGATATAATGCCAGTTTTTTCGCGATGCATATTTACGCGTGTAAAACGCTGCGCATGTACAGAATCTGGCATTGAGATTTATTTTTAGAGGACTATAAGCAGTGTCCACGATGAATGTTTGGACCTCTGCACAATTTAGCTCTAATTTTAGGTATTCTAGTATAGCTAATTTAAGATAACTTGTACAAACTATAGCAACGCTGTGCTGTGTCTACTCACGTTTCACATTCTCAAAGTTATAAATACTTGGGTATATAAACTGCATGTAATTTTAAAAAGATTAAGCTCAGTTCTGTATTACTTTCAAAGAAGACATTAATAATATTGTTCTGAATTTTTTCAGATTCCTTTTGCGTCTATTAAATTCTATAGTAGAAATAGGTATTCAGTTACCTACAATTTTTCGAATTAGACGTTGCTTACTTCTTTTCCAAAGTATTAATTTGATCCAAGATGAGCTTTTCCGCATCTTGAAATCGTCTGCATTTCATGTAGCCTAAAATCTTGCCATCAAAATCCATTGCGAATTGCGATGATTATCGCTGTTGACGACTAAGCGAAGACTGATAAAATCTCTAAGAAACATTTAAAGTATTTGAGAGTTTTTGTGACGATCACGAAAACTCGCCAGAATCATTTAAACGTAAATTTTGTTCTTTTTTCTCGAATTTCGAATTGTATCTTTGCCAACTATCACGTTACTATTCACGTAGGTATCTATTTAACTATGAAGAACTGCTTCTGAGAATGCGTAATTAATTTTAATTTATTTGACAATTGAACAATTTTTCACCTTGCTTAATAAAAATTCTTTGGCTTCAATTATTTATGCGAGGCAATGTTCCTCACGTCACCTCTCGGGCAAATTTACAGCCGGTCTCACGCGGCCGGTGTCCAAATTCAGTGAGTATGGAAAATCCATGGTTGAACAGTATATATAGTTCAACCATGGGAAAATCTTCCAAAGTAATGAACGTAGCTGGATGAAACTTCGTACACGTATTCATTAGGACCTAACGGTGATGTTTAGCTCGTGAAAAAATTTTAAATTTCACCTTCATTCGTAAGTTATATGGCGATATGTGCTAAAACTTGCTGTGAGCATGACATTTCTTCTAAATTACAGTTTTGAATGAAACTTTGAATATATAGAAACCTAACTTCCCAACGGTGATGTTGGGCTCGTGGCAATTTTTTTAGATTTTGCCTTGTTTGCGAATTTTTTTTTCACATTCGTGATTTAAAACAGCAATACCGGTAATCGCTTAAATTCGCGGTGAGCATGTAATTTGTCCTAAAATACTGAACAGATTTGAACCGAATTGGATGAAACTTCGTATGTGAATACCTAGCCTTCCAACAGTGATGTTTATCTCGCGACAATTTTTTCTATTTCGCGTTTGTTTGCCAGTTATATGGAGAAACGACCGTCATTTATCAGGCCGATTTTTACATGGATTTTTAAACTTGCATCGACCAAGAGCCATAAACGTAAAACCGTATAACTCACAAATGAAGGCAAATCTAAAAAGTTGTAAAGAGCTAGACATCACCGTAGGGAAGTTAGCTTTCTATATCCAAATTTTCGTTCAAATCTGTAAAGTAGTTCAGAGAAAAATGTATTCACTGCCCATTTCGGCACGTATCGTCATATAACTCACGAATGAAGGTGAAATTAAAAAAAAGTTCATGAGATAAGCATCACCATTAAGTCCTAATAAATACGTGTACCAAGTTTCATCGAGCTACGTTCATAACTTTGGGAGATATTCAATGCTCACTGAATTTGGACACTGGCCGTAAATTTGTCAGACGTTTTCAGAGCTTAAACTAACAAGGCAAATTTTATTTATTTAAACCAAGATTATGATAAAAATATGAACTTTTATGACAAAAGAGAAATTAAATCATAAAGATAAATTTGGGGAAAAGAAATTTGAAATTACAAAGATTCGAGAGTCAATTCAGGGATTGGAAAAGCAGCTGTTTCTAGTTTGGTCCATGTCACCGAGTCAACTCGTTTATCATACAGCTGCATTACCAGAAATTAAACAATATAATAAAAGAACGACAAAAACAAATAGAGTTTGACAAAGGCCTTAACATTGTGACAAGCTTCATATTACCATTACAGTTTTACTAGGTGCTTCTATAGGTATTTTCAATTAATAAAATGGAGTAAAGAATTCACGGAATCACAAGAAGCCGCACGTACCGCAAATCGTCGTGTACTGAAAATTTTAGCAGGCTGCATTACCTATTCATAGACCAAGCTTCTTGGACTCAGCGCTTAAAAGAGACGTACCTAGTTATCACTTGACACTTGACAGCGACAGTAGTTAGTAGCTAGCAATAGCATACCTACTGTCACGGGTCTGTCACTGTCAGGTCAGATACATACGAAATTTTTATTGAGCAATCTTCATTAGGCCTATAATTTATTGCTCATAAAGTTACAAACATGCAACGCAGCAAATGCAATGAACAACCTTGGCAGCTAGGCTCCATTGGATATTTGAGCAGAAAAAAATAATTTGTTTATTTTTAATAAATTTGAACCATAATTCTAATCTGGAATATAATTTTTACTAGCTAGGTAAACAGATTTCATTATGACTGTGAGTCTGTGGCAATGAGTCAATGACAATAATGTTTAATTGTGAATATAATTGTGTTTGCAAATTAGCAAATAGCTAATGCTGTCAAACATGAAATGGGGTAGGATA